GTACCGGGGATTGAACTCAGGACCCTGAGCTTGCCAGGCAAACTCTTATTCTACTGAGCTATCTCCCCAGCCCTATCTTTTTGTTTTGTTTCAATGTTTGCCATCAGCTTATATTACATTATCTTAAAAAAAAAAAATGTTAAGCATGCTTAAAGGATTCCAAAAGTTAACTAGATTGAGAAAGCATTTACATCAGGTAATGAGTGTCCTGCTTCCCACTACCTTCCCACCACAGTCATGAAGTGCATCTGGGCCGTAGGAAGGGGTGTCAGCCAGAACCGGCTTGCTGCTCTAAGGAAAACACAAAGATCATCTGGAAGTCAGCTTCCTGACAAGACAAACCCAAGACTCATAGTTAGATCATCTGAATGAACACACGCTTGAACGGATGAACAAATGAGCATGAAGCAGCCGCTGAGTCATTTGGGTGTGGGGAAACGACAGGAAGAAAGGAAAGCTGGGGAAACTGCTTGGCACGACAAACCCTCCTTGCTGAGATGTGACATTTGCTGGAAGGATATACACTGGGTGTAGGAAGCAAAATTGCAAGGCTGGATTTATTCCTGCCACCTTAACGTGAGAAACTGATGTCTGGTGTAGCCCATTATCTGCATGACATCATTAGGTAGCATCAGCTCAAGGAAGAGATTTTAACTGCCATTATCTTCTTTCTGGAAGAAAAGGAGCTCTAAGAGTTTCCCTGTGCATCATGAGGTAGGTCTGTTCCCATATTTAATACAGGAAACATATCAGGGCTAGAGATTCTAGTCCTGATTCAATCCGCAACTCTGAAGAAAAGTCTTTAGAACTTATCTAACACACTAGTTATTTTCAAGACATTTCAAAACAGTCTGTTAAATGAATGATATGATCTATCTAAATAACTTTTGGTGAACATATTGGTGAGAATATATTCTAAACATTCCTCCAAATGATCATAGCAGCTTTAGCTTCTTGGACAAATACTGCCAGACTCTTGAATACTGGATACAAATGCCATACAGGGAATTTACATCTCATATTCTATCTGATAGAATTTTTGATGATAATTTTGACTTTTTTCCTCCTGAAATCAAGGTTTTTACCTTTGTAAAAGTTTCTCCATGACATATTACCCCACTGTATTACCAGAGTGATATAAACAGCATTATCGTTTATATCTTTTTTGAGCACAGATCTCAGCTCATTTACTAATGAACTCTACTCTTAGCAAACTACTTAGCATCTCTGAGCTATAACTTTTATCCTAAAATGAGTCAAAACCTGCTGCATAGGTTTATTCTGATTGTTCTTCTTTTATTTTATTTATTTATTTTTCCCTGTATTTTAGGGAAGGGTTCACAGCGTGTTCAGGGTCTCACTACTAGACCGGACTCTGGTGATCCACCTGTTTACAGCCATTCAAGAGCTGGGATTACGGGCGCACAACACCACGTCTTGTCTCAATCACCTTCTCTTTTTTCTTTGGGGGGGGGGGTGCAGCACAGCAGGCTGGGGATTGAACTCCCAGCCCCTGTGCCTGCTTGCAGGCACTTTAATCTGCTATTTGGCCGGCCATAGGGTTATTCTGATTAAATAAAATTACATGTGTTTATCTCTTTAAAGTCATAAAATGGACTCATTGTCCCAATTAGTCCTAAAGCAACAATAACAAAATCAGTAATAGCATTTGTCCTCTCCAGAGTAATGCTATGTGTTTTGTTAGGTATACAACTATGAAGGAATGCAATGAAATTGCACTGTCATTTTTATCGTGTAGGTGCTTTCCCTTGATTCCTTTTGTTTTATGCATCTTTTGTCCCTCCCTAAAGAGTGACTGAAAAGAGACAAGATTAAATTTGAACCTGTCTGTCTCTTTATTATTAACTTTTATATAAAGGTAGAGAAGAAAAGATAAAGATTGAATTGAGGCTTTTGTGTACCAGTGGATTTCAAATATCAGCCTAATCTTGATTCTTCATTGTCACAGATCCCTAAGAATTGACTATTGCTTCCTCAGGTATAGTAAGTCTATTTTTAATTTTCATCTTTTGTTAAATCTCTGCTGAAGATAATAAAAGATTTAGGTTTAGAAAGCACCTCAGCATTTGGAATGGGATAGAAGCTATAAATGGATATGTCAATGAAATAGGTTAGGGTGAGATCTAATTCTGAGTCTCAGAATCAAAGATATTCTGTCTGGTCCATGTACTGGCACAGGCATGCATGCAGGGCTCTCTGGAGAGGGCCATACATGTGCATATTCCCATGTATGTGCACATGAATGCACACATGGGAGTCCTGTGTGAGCACGGTACTGAGCACATAACTCCAAGGGCTACTGTAGTGACGAATGACCTGGTCTTTGTGAACCAGGTCAGTTTTCTTCTTATGACAGTTATTACTGGAGAAATTGAAATAAAGCCTTATTCTCAGATAGTCACCCTCTATCCTGTGGGACACTGGCATGCTGAGTATGTGATTCTGTTGCCCCTGTTCTCTCCACGGCCAGACTGAGAGCTTGTCAGAACAAGATGTCCACAGTGACATTCCAATCTGCCTGTACTGAGGTCAGCTTGGCACCTGACTACCAGTTATAGCCCGTGGAATGCCATCACCTCTCACTGAGTTTCAGCCCATTCTTCAAGGTCCAGAGTAAATACTTCCTTTTCTATGAATTCACCCTATTGTTGTAATCTTACTATTCTGATATCCTGTTCTGATATCCTGTGGTTCTTTCACACAACTTTCATATGTATTATACACTGCTTTTTTTTTTTAATTTTATTTGTTTATTTGTGTGTGTGTGTGTGTGTGTGTAGCCAGCTCAGCCCACCAGGGGGCGGGGCTGGCTGGCATGTGGTGCTGGGGGATTGAACCGCGGTCCCTGTGCTTTGTTAAGCTTGTTCTAAGTAGGTGCTTTAGACCATTGAGCCATCTCACCAGCCCCTATACACTGCTTTGAACTAGGATTGATAAGTACCTGTTTTGCTTTATTAGACTGAAGTCTCTTCATAGACAAAAGACTGTGTCATTCATCTTTGTAACCCTAGCAGCACCTAACATGGTAAAAAGAGTGCCACTCATATTTGTTGAACAAATGTGGACTCCTGTTACTTCCCTCTGGATGTAACCATGTGGTAGATGCTCTTGGTAGTTTGTGGCACCTAGAAACAGAAGCATTAGGAGTAAGGTGTTAATTTAAGGAAATGTTGAAAAAAGAAATGAACATCCCTGAACACTTTATGATACATAAGAATAATGCATCATATATTAACAATTAAAATTTTGGAACAATTTTGCTGTGACTTTTGATTCTCAGTGACAAGATATTGTAAACTGATATGCAGATGAGTTTTAATAGGAGACTGACCAGGACAGAGACCTAGATGAAGTTGTATGGTACTTCCCTAGCTCAAGATTCCAGATTACATACACCAGCATTGTGAGTATATTTTGTTATTGCTAATAAGCACCCCAGGATTTTGTAATTCAGGATATACACTGGCCTAGGATAAAGAGTAAACTTCAAGACTGAAAGGACTCTGAGGGCCGTAGAATAAGCGTTTGTCTGGCAAGTGCAAGGACATGAGTTCAACCCCCGGTTCTGAAAAAAAAAAAAAAAAAGAAAGAAAGAAAGAAAGAAAGAAAGAAAGAAAGAAAGAAAGAAAGAAAGGACGGACTCTGAGAGTTCTTTACTGACTTCTTAGCCCCTTGAACCACCTGGGCAATTTTTATTCCTTCCCTTCAACTCTGACTACGTAGCTGCCTAGGGTCAGTACTTTGTAACAGGAAAGCAATTCATTTTTTCATTAATAAATTCTACAAATACAATAAGCTTTTGTTCTTAGACAAAGAAAAACTCCATTCCAGTTGAAACAAAGATAAAATAGTGACCTTAAATTGTTGAAGGTTATTGAAATGTGTTTATTTCCTGAACAAATTTCTTTTAAACATTTGATATTTTCTAAGATTGTCCTTTTTTTAATTTGTCCTTGAAAGTAACTGCATAAAGTTAGAATTTAACATATAACACTAAATGGCACAAATAGGTTTATCAAGATTAGACCCCAAATAATCTATAATTCTTTGTCAGTTACAATTTTTCTAGAATCACAAGGTTAAGCACTTGCTAATCTTCCCTAAGTAAATTTTGCCCCCTTGTGGAATAAAACATCTATAGCTAGGAAAGAAATGCTTTGGGTGCAAGGACTACTCAGTTCCTTTCAGTTCTTCTAACAATAAAAAACTGGACTCTTTAAATTGTGTTAGAGTCCATTAGCAATAACAAAATATACTCACAAATGTTAGTACACTTGTGTATTTCACATTTTGTATTAGATTCAACTATTGTAGTACCTGAAATATACTAAGAACTCAATAAATAAATATTTCATAGTATGAATATTTTCAACATCCACATATAAGGATTTCTTTCACACCTATGAAATAGCCCTAGATTTATGACTCCAGTAATGGATTTTTTTTTTTTTTTCTGGTACTGGGGATTGAACACAGGACCCTGCTCTTGCCAGGCAAGCACTTATTCTACTGAGCTACCTCCCCGTCCCAAGTAATGGAAAATTCACTAAAAAATACAGCCCATTTTCTTGTCAGACAGGACTGTTATGCAGTTCATCATTATAGTAAGCCCTACCTAGAGATATATCTCAGTTTTTTCTCAGAACTGAAAAACGAAAAAATAGTACCTAACTATCTTAAGTCTTTGGTAAGAGAATCACATAATTCCAAAACTAGAAAAAGGTATTAAGAGTTCTCCCAGTCTGTCATCTTATGATCAAATTTATTACGCCATTTCAATCTAAATCTGCCTTTGCGAACAGTATTCAATAGCTCACTACTTGTCTTGTAGCTTTTCCAGTGTTGGGAGGCAACTAACACACTGTCTTTCAGTCTTCCATCCTCCTAATTTGTACACTTACAAGGTAAGTGTGTGTTGGGGGGTTCTATCAGGCATCTAGCAACTCTTGGTAGACGTGCATTTTCTCTGTGGAAGACCCTCATAAAGTTGCTGGCTGGAGATATTACAGGGTTGGGCTGTGTGTGGGGCTAGGAAAGCAAAATGTACCCTATGAAACCAGAACTGTGGTGTATGTTATCAGTTGGAGCCAAAAGAAACGACGAGAAGATTCCATTAAAATAGCTTCAGAGGTGTCACTGAGATTAGTCTCTCTAACTGAACCCCAAGGCACCAAAAGCTCTCACATTTGTTTTTTGTTTTTTTGTTGGAACCAGGGATTGAGGACTGAACTCAGGCCTTTGCCCTTGCCAGCGAAGCGCTTATTCTACTGAGCCATCTCCCCGGCCCTTTTTTTTGTTTTTGTTTTTAGCTCTCACCTTTATTGAGGGCTAAAGGTAGGCTAAGGAATGTGCATAACTACTTTGGTGAACACAGACTACTCTCTTTATTGCCTTTAAGCATTTACCTAACTTAAGTTTACACAATGCTAGCTGGTAACATTCCAAACAAGGGATGAAAGAGCAAACTGGGCAGGTGCCAGCAGGAGAAGCTGTTATCCATAGAGAGACAACAGCTCTCCTTGGGCTCTGTTTATTGCTCTTTGCGCCCTTGGGACATCAGGCTTCTGTCTCATACCTATATTTCTATAGAACTGCTCTAGTTCACAGTGAGGGAGCTTGAAGTACGCTGACAGGAGGGCCCAGTGCTGCCGTGGCTGGCTCGGAGTGCTCCCTGCACCTAGGATGGCACCTTTCTACAAACTGTGGGGCAGAGCATGTCTTTTCCTAGAACTGCCTCCACCCCACTTACTCAGTGGTGACTTCTGTAACTGCTCCTGTCAGAAGTGGCTGTCCACATAGCACTGCTAATTGATGTTGTGGCTGTGGAGAACAATGCCTGTAGTTTTAGGAGAGGCTTGATGATACATTCCCAGCTGCAACACCATCTGCAACTTACTTTGAACTGATAGAGCAAAAACAAGATAAAGGGGCCTTGGAGATGGCTCAGTGGAATAAGCGCTTCCCTGGCAAGTGCAAGGGCCAAAGTTCAATCCCCAGTTCCAGGGGGGAAAAAATGAGATAAAGCAAATGTGGCCAGATATGAATAGCTATCGAACAAAATGACACCCAGATACCTGACAGTCATCATTTGCCTCCTTGATGTGTTTTCTGCTTTTCCTTGTCTTTGAAAGCACAGAATGTACAATTAGTGATGAGTTTCCATTTGTGATGTATGTACTATTGCAACAGCAAGCAGAAACACCGAAACAATACTACAATACCCAGGATTTGAAGACAGGTTTGTTTATGTAGGCCGGCACTGATTGGGATTTTACAGAGAAGAATAAAGCCCACAGTGGTCTCTGAATGAATTGGTATTATAGCTACTATTTAAATCCATGCCTAAAAAAAAAAGAAAAAAGAAAAAAAAAAATCCATGTCTATCTGACTCCAAATCTCATTCTCTTTCTGTGTCATGCTGTCTTCTAAACTGCATTCAGGCTTAAGAAACAGCCCAGGGGCTGGAGAGATGGCTCAGTGGTCTAAAGCATCTACTTAGAACAAGCTTAGCAAAGCATCAGGGACCGCGGTTCAATCCCCCAGCACCACATGCCAGCCAGCCCCGCCCCGTGCTGGCCACACACACACCACACACACACACTCTCTCTCTCTCTCTCTCTCTCTCTCTCAAATAAATAAAAATTAAAAAAAAAAAGAAACAGCCCAGAAGTTTCATTCATGCCTATGTGTGAACAAGAAACTACAAAACTGTATATATACACAAGTGCTGGGATTACACGTGTGCACCACCACGCCCAATCTTAATTGGACCCCCCAGGCCCTGTGTGTGCCTAAACAGGCACTTTAATCTGCTGAGCTATCTGGCCGGCCCTTAAGCAGCAGTTCTTATCACTGCCACCACATCATGACACCTCTTCTCATAGGTAAAGAATTCAACAAAGTTTTGGTTTTATAAACAAGGATGATTCCTTCAATGACAAAAGAATCCTAGGCTAGCCACAGGGTGGCTGGACTGCCCTTTCCCTCTTATATGTGAGGACACCAGCTGAGCTGTCCCCGAGCCTCAGAATTAAACAGAGCCCAGACCCTGGTCTGCTTAGGCTAACAGAGGCATAGATGAAATAATAATACAGAAGGACACAGACCTCTTGGGGCTCTGGGGAACTGAGGCTCAGTCAGAGAAGACTATGGGGTCATGAATTTTGGTTGAGGTTCCTGCCTTGGTGAAGTCACTTACAGCACTGAGGGCCCCTCCCTACACTGCCATATTTAATTCTGGATATTGTATAAATAGACCTTGGCATTCTGTCAAGGCACAACACCCACCATGTTCCGGTCGTTCTGGGATGTAACCAAATCTGAGCCTTTGATTCCCTCTAGTGGCATAGCTCAGCAAGTCTCACAGCAGATTCTCTGCATTTATTCAGCGTACACTGAGTGCCTACTGTGTGTGCACTGCACTGACACTGAGTCATCCTAGCACTGCTTGGAGGGTCAGGTCTGTGGCTCCACTGAGCACTGTTGTGCCTAGCAGGAGTGGAACCCAGAGGTCCTTACAGGCTTAGCTTAGTGCAATGAAGACTGGCAAATTTCTGAGCTATGCTATTTGTGTGTCTTTGTGTGTGTGTGGTACCAGGAATCAAACTCTGGACCTTGAACATGCCACACAAGCACTTACTCCACTGAGCTACCTCCCCAGCCTGAGCTATTCTATAGCTAGCTGTTTTATGGGAATTGAAAAAGAATGGGTTACTACATGGATTATTTCTGTTCCAATTGTGTTAGTAGGGCCTTGGGCTGGCTTTTTTACCCTGTGTCTAGATATCACCCCAAAGTCACATGTGGGCTTCTAGAGCTGGTGATTAACTCACAGTCAAAGCTGGGATTATGGGTGTGAGTGCTACACCGACCCTGGGGTGGGCAGGCTGCGTACACTACAAGGGAGGGAAAGAGGCTTGCTCTCTACTCCTCCCTTTTTGCTCTTGTTGCTTTTGCTGTCTTCCACCACCATGAACGACTGCCCTCTGTCATGTCCCACTGTGCCTTAGAGCCAGCCAAGCATGGACTGAAACCTCCACAAAGTAGAGGTTCTGTATTAGCAACAAGAGAAAAGCAACCAAGACAGTTTGCTTGTTAGCAAAACTGCTGCCAACTACATGGGCTCAATTCAAATCAATTAAACAAACACTTACTGAATATATAATATATAT